TCTTTTCCTTCACAGATGCTACCAGACCTGCTGAGCTTTTCCAGCAACTTTGTTTTTATTCCAGATTTACAGCATCCACAGTTCTTTCAGTTTTTATTTAGCATTTATTGTCAATGCCTATTGCCCTTGAGAAGGTGGTAGTGAGCTGCCTTCTTGAACCACTGCAGTCCAAGTCCGCATGCATGCAAATGTTTCATTTTGAAGAAATTTAAAATTAGTAATGAGACCTTGTCTTTGAAAAATACATCATTTGGCCAAAAAGTCCTTGGGACATGGAGAAAGATGTTATATATGTGCACATTCTTTTTCTTTCTTCCAATAACTTGAAGCAAAAATTGTCTATTGTGAATGTCGTTCAGATTTATTTTCTTTGTTATGTTTCATCATTATACTAAAACTATATTGTGTCCATGTTCTTCCTTCACAGTAAAAGGAAGGTGTGTGTAATATATGGCAAATGGACTGAATGTCTGTGGTGTGTGGACACTAACACATATGAGGCATACAAGAAAAATGATAAAAAGGGTGGAGAACAAAAGAAATTTAAGGAGGTAAACTCTTTTTATTGCTTTGTGTACTTTGAAGATGTACTTTAATTGTGCACTAGATTATTGTTTATGTTTTAATGTATGTAACAGCTAGTTTTATTTTATATTAAACCAGATTCTAACTATTTCAGCTTCCTTTGCTACTCTAACATTGCAAACAACTTATACATGTAAATGGTGATTTCTGCTGAATACTGTACCCGTCAAAGTTACAACTGAGGAACAGGTCAGGCCCTAAGAAAATCTATCCCATAGGATAGTATATATTTTTCTTCTCTACACAGTACTTGAATTTAGTTAGCTTATGATTAATATTATGAAGAAAGAATGTGATGTGTACTGTGAAGCTTTTGCTGATAGGTGTACATCTAGTCACAGATTATCATCTCACTCTTAGATTTCTAGAAGTTTTTCCTTGACTATGTAGTGCAAGCTTTTTTTTTCTAACTACAAACAAGATCTCCTGCTCTCTCTGGATTAATCATGTGCTATCTCTGGAAAACACCTTTATAAAGTACATTATTGATATGTTGCAGCCAGAAGATGATGTACGAACTGAAAATGATGAAGCTGATGACATGCCTGAAATTCAGGAAACTGTGCAAGTTATTCCTGGAAGCAAACTGCTTTGGAGGATAGCAGCAAGGCCTTCTCATTCTACTCAGGTAAAACTTAAGTGTGATATAACTTGGAGACTGCATACATGTGCATAATTCACTAGGTACAATTTCTGATATTGAACAGAACATTGTTTAACTGCAGAATAATTGAGAAACATTAATTTTCCATTTCAATCTATAAAACTATAAATTCCTGAATATGATAAATTACTTCTAAAAAGCTAAAATTGGCGCTGAACAGAGCACTGCTCACAGAGCATATGAGACACAATGTCGTGCAGAATAAACAAATCAATCGAATTATTACTTCGGTAATCTTACAGTTGCATACTTTGGCAGTTTAAACAATACATCGGTTGGGTTTCTCAAAGTTTCAACAATAACATTAGTGGTAGTGTCCTACTCCGTTAAGGAATATATCTGTGTGACAAAAAGAGCAGATAGTAGTTAAATTGCAGCTGTAAGAGGAGTGAATGTGAGAACAGGACCAGCAACTGATGGTCAACAGTTTGAAAATGCTGCTTACTGTTGTAAGCTATAGTGATCAATTTGTTATTATAAAACTCTTGCACTTGCCTGTCATTTTAAAAAATAAAATCCTATCCACATTTCATAATGGAATCTTCCTTTGTAAAATTGTTATGATTGCACCCTGTGTCAGTAAAGGTGCTGAAGCACAGTCACCAACCTGAGCATCTTGGTACAGTGTGACAGATTTTCATTACAAATGTCAACGTAGGAATTTATAATGAAGTTACTTTAACAAGTAAAGTGAACAAGAGTAAAGCTATACTGTCCCCAGCTCTTTCTGTAAATTAGGTGGTGAGAATACAGCAGAAAAACTGGAGTTTCATGGGCTGAAAAATGCCTTCGAAATCTATTTCTACAAGTTTAACTCGAAGTCCAACTTGGAATATGGTTATGATTACTTAATTTGTAAGCAGTTAAATATTTTCATGCATTTACCCATATGAAAACCTGGGAGTCTGTTGATTTGAAGATGCCTCAGAAAAGCTTAAAATATAGTGTTTTTAGTTTACAAAATACCTTGGTAAAAATGTGTCAAATTCAGGAAAATGGTTGCTAACATAAGGTGTGGTTACTGTTACATTGCTGTACAATACATAACAGACAAATGTTCCTATTTCTAGATGTATAATTTCACTAACTTTGCAATGACGTTGAATGAACTGGATGAGGAAATGAAGAATGTTTTAGCTCCAACCGATTGTCGTTTTCGACCAGATATAAGAGCTATGGAAAATGGAAATATGGGTATGAGTGCAAATCTAAAAATTAGTCCTTATCAGTGATAAAACATACCTTTTTCAACTAGCTTGTTTTGAAAGTTCATGCTAATTTGTTTGACCGTGTTCTGTTATGTAGCCCTAAAACAGATCAAGTGATCTAACTAATGTTATAGCAAATAACAAGATGTATTAAATCATGCAGTAACAACAATCTAAGATCAAGCATCTTGATTATAACCAAATACATACTCTGAAATTATACCTAGCAAAAAATTCTTGGATAAATATACGTGATAGTCTTGTGTTGAGTTGCAAATTTAATTGATACTTGGAGTCTATCTCTGGACTGTGCCCAGGGTGTACGTCACTTGCTGAACATTTGTTGTGGCTATTGAGCTGGTTTGTGAGTGGTAGTTCATCCTACAGCCTGAATAGTGAGGTCAGCTAATGATTTTTTTTTTTTTTCTCCCTTCCTGCATCTGCTCTCTGACACTATCTGATAAATTTATTTTGTCCTCTGCTTTATTTCTTCTTGACTGACTGACTGTCTGTCTGTAGATACTCCAGCCAGAAATGAGGATTTCCTAACCATAGACTCCAATACTGGTCAACGGAAATCACACTTGCAGGTGTTTTTTGTCACAGACAAGGGTGGTCTGTTGTTTTTGTGCTGATAGAAACTCCCTGCAGAGCTTTTCTTTGGGTTGCAGAATTATCCATATTAAATGTAATTAATGGTTTTGATTCTAATGCTAACATGCTAATACAAAGTTAAATCATAAGAGCACATTTCAAGTTTATATTTTAAACATAATGTAATGTGCTTTTTAATTAACAGAAATTGCTGGTGCAGAGAAAGAAAGATTAGAAGAAAAACAGAGAGCTGCTCGTAAAGAAAGGTCCAAAAATGAAGAGGAATGGAGAACAAGGTTAGTCTGTTCCCAGTTTACTAGGGGGAAAATAACATTTAACTGAAGAACCTTTGGGACCAATAGGTTTTTTGTCTTGCATCCCATAATTTTGAGATTAATGTAAAATCTAAGGTTTATCCTGGAAATGGCCATATTATATATAAATTCTTGTGTTGCTAGATCATTTTGACAAAATAACTATCGTTTTACTATCTTTTTACTAAAATCTTTCTCTCTGTCTGTAAAATTAAATAAGATTACAAGTTACTTAAATATGCAGCCATTTAAATGCATGTTACTTTTCCTTGAAATGAATATTAAATCTTGTATTATGAATTCTGTTCAACTAAGTTCAATGTATTAAAGTATACTGTCATGTACATTCACTATTTAAGAAGTGATGTACATGCTTTGGAAAACACATTGGTCAACATAGGGAGTAGGTTTGGTCAAATCAATGTTATACTTGTAACTGAAACAACAAATAAGTAATAGTCACTTGGTAGTGCAGAACTTGAGTATTGCTCACAAAAGTCACATTTTGTTATTTTTTGACTTGCACGCATTAGGACATTTCTCAAGAAAACCATTTTTCCACTTGAATTGATACACTCGCAAATTGTCATGATCAGTGTAAGGATAAGTAATAGAAATGCTGTAGATTCAATTAGATAAAGCTCTACTGTAGAATTTCGCTTGATTCGATGAAACAGTAATGAATACTGCGTAAAATGAATTTGCTGCAGAAATTCCATCACATTGAGTCAGAGGAAAAGCAAAGACCAAACCTTGATTTAATTTGCTCAGAAGTATTATCTAAAATATTTGTCTAAATTGAAGTTCTGATTTTTTTTTCTTCCCCATTTTTCATTTCTTAACTTGTTTTTACAGGTGGTTTCGACAGGATATTAATCAGCACACACGAACAACAGACTGGATTTACACAGGAAAGTACTGGGAAAGAAATTACGAAGATTGTCCTGATATTTACTGAAGATTTTGTTCTCGAATATCGTTGAATGTCGATCAAATGACTTTAACATTTCTACTACTTCTAAATCTTCTACTCTGGTTTTGTCTGTTTTGCTTTTTTTATTTTGTTTAACTTACACTGATGTCAATCCCAGAATCTCTAACTATAATGTTTATGTGCAATAACTGAAAGGAGGTTTTGGAAAATTTCTCCCTGCTGTTCATATATAAATAATACAATGCTTGAATTGTTTTGCTAGCATTTCTAATCTGACATAATTGGGTGCTACTTCCAAGATTCAATGATTACAATAGAAATGTTTAGTGCAGTCTCTTCCTACTCCTGCATCCCCACTTCTACAAATGGCTAATGTGAATTTATCCAGTTTGTAGCTGAACCACACAGAAAGTTGGAGGGTGGTGGCTGAGAGATGAGAGGGTGTCCAGATTTGATCCCTGAGGTTGACTATTTTCAGCTAGGATATGGGCGCTACAAATGGTTGTGTCGTACCTGGGTTAAGTAAGAATAAGCTGTTAAGGGGGTTATAGGGATAAAGCGCTGAGGGTATCATACCCCAAAGCAAACCAGTAGCCCCTTGTTGGTTAATATGTGCATGTGTAAATGATAGGTGAGGACAAACTTGAGTGCATTGTGAATCTACTTATGCAGAAATATCCTGCCGACAGACACTACAAAGGTTCACAGCTGAATATTGGCAACTTGGATGAAGTATCAGAGAGCAGCTAGTGCCCATGGAACTACACAAAGGTGTCTTCAAGAGAAAAATGGAGGAAACCTGGCAAGATAAAAGATACATTTAAACATGCTTTGCTTGTGGCTATGTCTTGAAAACTTGGTACTTGCATTTTAAATGCTTAATCAAACTAATTCAGTATACATACATCTGAATAAAGGTTGCAATTCAATTAGAATGATGTATAAACATAAACTTTCTATTGCTTTTTCCTAATTTGTTCACCAAGAAATAGAATTTCACGTCAGTACAGAAGTGTTGATCTGTACAGTAAGTGGTTACAATTTAATGTACATTTTTAATAAATGTGTTGGGAGTAGGGAAAGGAATTGGTTCAAAAATAGAGCTCCATAAATGACTTCTCAGTAAACCAGACAATTGTACTAAAACTTGTTAGATGCTTTTCAATGAACCTGTAGATTGGTGAAGGTAATTTAATTACAGCTGTTAAGCAGCCTATAACCAAAACAGTTCAGCGGTGTTGTACACCTTAATGTCAAAAAATCTTATTTAAAAAAGAAGCCCTTTTGTTGATTTCATATTTTCTGAGAACGTGAATAAATTTTCTCACTTCGGTTTTGGTGTTGCTTCTTTGAAATTTACACACTTAAACTTCCATCTGTTCCTTACCTGAAGTATTGCTCTCTGGATGAATGCCTTTGTTTTTGGCTGCCTGGAACAGCAGAATGTCGTGTAATGGATTTCTGTTATTAGTAATAGATATCTTTGGCAACATGTCAGGACATCAGTGGGGAAGGTGATTTTTGTTTTACAAGTCTTAAAAAGTTGAAGTTGAAAGAGTAGAAATGTCAGTAGCCCTTCTCTTCATTCATTCCTTTTTATTTCAATCCCCCAACTCTCTGTGAGAGTGGCCATTTGTTTTACCAGTAGCTGTTTTGCATTAATACACTCACTAATGCATGTTTTGAATGTCCCCAGATTTGTACTATTTTGAAAATGTAATAATGCCAGGATCTGCTTGCATCATTGTTTATGTGGATCAAAAAAAAGTGTATCTGTGGATATTTTATTGCCAAAGTGATCTTTATTTTATCTGTGTGCTTGCGTGTAGGTGTTCTGAAGCCATAATGTTAAAATGTTATGTCAACTTGAATTCACAGACACAGTTTTGTGGAATAGAAAATCAAACTGTACAAAGATAAAATATACTTTCACTGGGCTTGAAATTATGGGAACTTTTGCTAATAAATTAGTGAATTTTATTTACTATTGATTGTTGTGAAATCAATAAGCAAGCTATGAACTAAAGAACAGCATTAGCTATCCCATAGTTGAGAAGATACTCTTAAATAACACACTCAATAGCCATTTTCATGAGTACAGAGTTTGCTTTCCAATTTTTTTCTTGTTCAGATCCTCCAAAACTTGGCATTTTTGTTTTTATGTTGGGGGAGACATAAAAGCTGAGTCATTCAATTTCAATTTCGAACCCTCTGCATATGCTTTGCACTTCCAGAAAATAATGGAGAAAGTGAATAATTTTCAAACATATTTTAAGAACTGGGAAATACTTAATTTTCAGCTTCCCAAGAGCAGTACTGATGTACTTGCTGGATTTCAAGACATAGTAAAATACAACTTTGTATAAAAAAGTCTTTGGACATAACTACCTGGGGAAAAATACACATAGAAACATGCATAAATAAACATATGCACCAACCTAGGAGGTTATCCTATAACCTGATTAATTTTTGGTGCTTAATTTTCCTCTAGATTGTAAATGAGATTTCTAGCCAGTTAGTTTGTTGTACTTGGTTGTTCTGTTTATGGGATTGAGGTGTACATGAGTAAATTCATCCAGCTACTGATATTTTCAGCAGTCATTTGTATTTACCTATATTGTGGTGATAACTGAACTAAATTACATTCTACATAATATTTTAACAGCTAGAATTATTTTGTTTTTTTACCTTTCACAGCACCATTATCAAAAACTATGCAACTATCGATGCAC